TAAGTTGGAAAATGTAATTAATGGGAAGCAACATGAGCATCTGATCTTGCAGGTGACCTCTCCCAGGGCACATCGGAATAGGAAGCTGTTTATCTTTGCAGGCTCCTATTATCATAGGATCAGGCCACTTTGTAAGCCAAAATATAGTGATCCTTGTATCAGCCCTGTCATGGGACTGGCTAGGGGCTGCTGGGGACAGAAAGCATCACAGCGTGCTGGAGTCAGCCCAGGAGCTGGTTATGGATGTCCCCTGTTTGGGAACACGTGTTCCTCCCCGAAGAGGACACTGAAGGCTCCTCTCCCAGGCGTTCCGGAGATCCTGGGAAACAAGGGACCGGCCCGAGGAGCTGTGGCTCAGCCCTGCGCCGCGGTGAGGCACCGAGCAGGTTTGCAAGGTGTCTGTGAGCAGCTCGGTGTCCTTAACCCATGGGTGGCCGTGGTTCAATCTCTGTCCCCTGGTTCTTGATTTGACCTTCTGTGGTCTCATTTTAGCATGATTCTTCAAAGAATCTGTCTTTTTTCCTGAGATGCAACGATTCTTTGTTAGGAGCAGCAGTGCTTCAGTTTCCAGCACATAGTAGAAGCGGGTGCATTCTGAGCCATAGTGGAAATTGCCAAATCACTTCATGTACTAATCATTTTCATTTGCCTTTAGGAGTTGACAGAAACAAACTGCCTCTAGCAGGATGCAGTCACCATCACTGGAATTGAGTCACCAATTGTTTTTTTCTTCACAATTTTTCTCAGAGCTCAAGGAATTAAATGCATCAAAGCCTTAATTTCTGAAAGACAGTAAGTCGCACATACTTTGACCTCCCACAATGTCATTTAGTTCAACTGTCTGGCCAACAATTTTCTTCTCCCTTGTGCTCCCTCTGCTTTTTCTGTACTAGTCAATGAGAAAGAGGGGTAGTAACTGGATACCTAAAATGCAGATTAGCACAAAAGGTTAACGCAGCAAAAGCTGCTTTCTTCTACCAACTCTGCTCAGTATTTAAACTGAGATATTGAGTTCCCATGGGGAAAATTGTATTAGAATAGAAAAAGGCACAGCATGTAGCTATTACTGGGGCAGTGATTGTAATGAGTATGGAAAATGGAACAATATATAACCCATTCTTAATAGACTCTTGGGAGGGTTATCCTCTGCTTCGTCTCAGATCCCATAACCAGACACTTAAAAAAAAATAATAATAACAATATAAAAAAAATCCTGTTTGGAAGTCCAGATTCCTTTGTATTGTTCAGTAAACATCAATGGCATTTTCTAAAGATGAATTATCCCCATGCCTCCATCAGCATGTGGTGCTAATGAAACAATCCCCTTCTCTCTTCTCTAGCAGCTGTTGGAGTGCAAAAACCTATGAAACGTCCAATGCTCCTGCCCTGCTCCTGTGCCTGCCTCAGACGGGGAATGCTCTGCAGCCCTGTCCTCAGGGCCCAAGTGCAGTGCGTGCTCCTTGCACCTTCCCCAGCTCTCCCTGGTGTTCACCCCGCAAGGTGAGACCTGGAGCTGCACCAACCTAGACAACCGCTGCTGCAGAGAAGGTACCCAAGGTCCAGGAGGGAGGTGAGAAGAGGGCCAGCTTTTCCTGCCCATGTGGGAGTGGGTTATGGACTTATCATGAAAAGAAATGCTCTATTCTGAAATGGTAGTTAGTTTTGGCTTTAACTTTGTGGCTGCTTCAGTGGATAGATGTTCTTTGCCTCTACCCTTCCTTCAGCAGCTACTGGAGTGACTAGGTTTGAGATGTGGCTGGATATGAAGCTCATGCAAAAAAAAATGTATCAGCTAGGCTATGGGAGGGAGGAGTTGCCATTGATCAAGGTGTCTAGCAAAACCAACAAGGGTAACACACAAGGTTTACTGCCTGCTGGGGAGGAGGCCATCACCTTTGCTTCCTCCTATCCATGGAAACAGTCTTCAGTTGTCCTGGAGACTGAAGTGTTGGCTGTGGGAGAAGGAAGAGGTGAATGCCATGGAAAACCTGCTGCTTCCTTGTGGAAGTGCCATCGTGTTTAGTTTGATTTTTTTACTCATAGGTGCTTGCAGTGGGTCAGCTCGCAGCAGCAAAACAGATTTTGTTCTAAATTTGGGAGAGGAATCTGGGCCTGCAGCCACTTGCAGTTTTTCTCATTGCCCTTTTTCCTCTTGATTCAGCTGAACTCCACCTTCATTCTCTTCAGCCTTGCACAGGGCATGTGGCAATGATGTCTGGCGAGGGACATTCACACTCATGGTGCACAGGGCAGTTGAACACACAGTGATGCAAAGGGCAGCCCCAAACAGCTTAGAGACCTTTATAGGGATCTATCAGCCCAACCCTATCTGAGAGCAAATAAAAAGTAGTTGGTGACAGGCAACTTTGATAAAGTGCATTGTTGAGTGTCAGCTTCTCTTTGCAGTGTATTGTCACTGGTGCCAGCCCTGACGCTTGAAGCAGACTTGTTACCACAGCTTGGCCTGCTTTTCTTGCTGGTATTTTTCTGCATTTTTTTTTTCCCCAGTGACTTCCTGAAGTGCTAAATGTGCTATGTTAGCAGGTTTTGCCCTTAATGCTTAGGTGAGAGGGGCTGTGTTGCATAGCACATACTGGAAAAAAAGTGCAGCCGTTAAAAATTAAAAGCCAGTCAAGGGTGAAACAAAATGAATCCTTTAAGTGTAACCATACTCTGTGCTGTGAAGTGCTTTCTGCTGTTGAGCTTGTTATGTCCAAGTTCTTCCATTCAGTCAAAAATCATGGCACTAGCTGAGATTTTGGGGGCAAAGGCCTACTCCAGGGTCATCAGAGTTAGGTACTGTGAGCTAGGGGAGATGGAAAAGGGAGAAAAAAAAAAGGGGGGGGGGCAATTCCTTCTTTGACCATTAACATTTCTCAGCTATTTTCTAGACTGGCACCAGGGTTGCAGGACCGGGCGCCCTGAGGAGGGGAGGAATAAGCCATCCTACATGCCTGGCTTGCTGCCAGGCCGCAGAGAGGGCCTGAGAAGCCAACACTTGGAGTTGTGGATGGACACGGTGCTTTGATGGTGCCCACGCAGTGTTGGCGCCTGCTCTGCCCATAGAGCCCCGTGGGGCCGCAGTCGTGCGTGCCCGGAGGGAGCTCAGTGCAGCATCAGCTGGCAGAGCCACGCTAAGAGGCTCTTTAGTGCAAGGCTTTAGCTTTTCAAAACACAAAAAGGCCATGCTTGAAATTCATTCCTTCATGCCGAGCCTAGGAGTCCTCCATAACCTTGAGCCTTGGTGCTCTCGGCTCCTGCTCTGCACCCCCCGCAGAAGGGATCCCCGAGACGTGTCCCACGTGCGGGTGCTCGGGGAGATAACCCGGGGGCGGAAAGGAGCCAAGTCACCGGCCTGTTCCGAGGACCGTGTCCGACCCCCCGGTCAGCAGCCAGGGCCGCCTCGCGCTGCCTGCGCTCGCAGACCAGCTGAGGTGCGGGCCGTGATGGCAAAGCAGCCCCAAGAACAGAGGCAGTAGTTTGCACTTTGTACATCTTGTGTGTGTCCATCATTTGCAGTCACTCCCAGCATGTCACACCAAGGCTTTTGGCTCTTTCCCCTTGTCTCATGGGCAGTTAGACCCATTAACGTCTCTCCAACTCCTTGGGTATTTGCTGACTCTCTTTTCCCTGCTCGTAGAGGACCTGACCAGCATGACCTTGCCAGGGGCCTCTGCTTTGGCAGCAGCTGTTTTCACTACAGCATTTCTGCAACATCTGGATTTTGCGGCTCCAGTCTGCAGAAAGAGGTGAGTGACTGAGGTAACGAGCACGGGACAAGAAGCGCTCAGTGCCCCGAGCTCCCTGCTTGCGGCACTGCTCGCAGGAGTGGAGCTCGCTGGGTTTTCCACCCACCACCCCCATGCATCTCCTGGGGGCCACAAGGGAATGGCACAGTTCACACTCCTGTCTGCCCTGCAGAGCAAGACACGGGCACTCTCAGGGCACCGCAGCTTTTGGGGGATTTTCTTCCCATAACAGGCTCAGCAGGGCTGAGGCTTTGGCTTAGAGAGGGGTTTGTAGCTTAGGTTTTGAACATGTGTAAAATGAGATGTACATGGAACCTTAACACACACAGAGAGCTTGGTTGCAAGAAGGAAAAAACAACATATTCTCTATGTCTCATCTGAACACACGCTTGCTCGCTCATTCTCACTTCTCCGTATCTACCCCTCGTCTGCACATCCCAACTACTCCTTCCCCATATCCTTCTTCTTGTCATTTAAATCCCTGCCACCCCCTCACATAGCACATGCCCCATCATTGCCATGTAACAGCAAGTTTTTCAGTAGCGCCACTTCCTCCATTTCATATCTTAAAGCAAAAAGCCATCCCTCCATGTCTTTATCTTCTAACTCATCCCTAATAAATATGATCATTTCATCCTGGGAAATCTAAAAAAACCATTTCTAAAACTCCCTTGGCACCTCATACAGTAAAACAAACTTATAAATATAAATAATTATGATAAAAAGGCATAAATTGCCAGATTTGGTCAAACATACTCGCACAGTGACACTAGCAACAAATAACTACACGATGCTTGAATGTAGATGGCAAAAATTGAATACAGAGTAGCTAGTTTGTTGCCCATAACTGTCAGACTCCTAATTCGGACAGGCCATATTTTATTGATAGGAGAGCAAACACAGTCATAATCAATCCCTACCGTTCCTGCTTTGTGAGAAATGGCATCCATCCCCAGGGAAGCAGGAAGGGAAAAAACAGTAGTGTGAACGTGAGGTGAAAGTATAAGACAGCAAGCACAGTCCCCGTCTTTGCAACACGCTTGTTCCTTGCACATCATATGCTAAGTTCAATTTTCCAAAAGCTTTGTTTTATTTTTAAAGGTAACATCTTTATTATTATTATTATATTTATTTGTTATTATTATTATGCAGAGATGAGATTTTTTTTTCCCCCTTTGATCACAGAGCAAACAGTTTGCTTTTGAAAATGTTAATGGAGTCCTGATTTAAAACACTTTTTTTTTTTCACTTTTTGTTTGTTTGTTGTTTTCTAAAACGTTGAAACAGGCAAGATCTGTGGTTCGATGTCTTCATCCTACACAAAGAAAGATGCTCGAGTTCGGACTCCCAGTCACTGCCGGTAGGTCCTGCCTTGCTCCGCGTGTCGTGGTCTCAGTGTGGATTCGCCGGGTGGGTGGGTGGGTGGGAGGGCAGCAGTTGGACCAAGGGAGGGTTTTTGTCAGCTATGTCGAGTCTTGGTTAACAACTTTGCCTCCATTCATGGTTGGTGTCCCTGAACTTTTCCTTGAGCGTCCTTGTTTTTCTCCAATTTCATGCAGCGATGGCTCTCTGTACATGCACACTGCAAACAGAAAAGACACCAATTAGCAGCCCTGCAGTCACACAGCTTTTTTGACTACAAGGAGTTATCTTCTTGTATGTGAGGCTAAAATCCCCCCTGCCAGCATGCACGGTTGGCAAACGCCGGCAAGGCAGCGGTAGCTGCTGTTGTCATGCAGAGCGCCTGCCTCTGCTGCCAGGGACGTTCCCCTTCCCTGCCCGTCCCCTTCCAAAGACACACACAGGAACAGGGGATCTCTGCTTTTCTTGGCATTCTGGGCTTTCTTGTCCTTTAATGATATATTTAGGTATATAAAATAATGGTTCCAGTTCACAACATCATGTATTGCCTCATGAAGCTGGTATCGGCTAAGAACAGATCCAGAAATTACACAGGCGCCCATCCTTCATCTCTAACAAGAAGTCCCTGAGAATCTTGAATCAAAACTACTCTTGCAGCTGAGCATTCCAGGCCTTCTGGGTGCTTAGCTCTGGAGCTGGTGAGTCCAGCTCATTTTGGCTCCTTCAGCCCGGAGCTGACATCTATTCTCAGCACCTCTGATTCTCGCTGTAACTCACAGACAGGGTCAAGCCTGTGAGCAGACACATTCAGTGGCAACAGCCCAGGAGCCATCGCAGCGCGACAGGGCCACCGGGAAGCACCTGAGAACAAGGTGGTCGGAGGGAACCTCCTCTCCTAACACTGGCTAAGCAACATGCTCCTCTAACATGGAGCACAGAGAGCCTGAGAAGGCCGTGTATGTCCAAGACATGGCAAGTTCCCATGTTGTGTGTGGCATAGAACATCTACATAACTAATGCTGGGGGCTATTGGCTAATGTCCCCCTGCATGAGGCACGCCAGGTAGGGAGCGCGTGCTGAGGGAGGGCTCAGCACCTCTGATGGTCTCATCCCAAATGTGCGGGGTGTGTATGTGATGGAAAAACAGAGGCATTTCAAGGGCAGGCACATCAGAGATGAGAACCTGCGATAGGTCCAGACTGCAAATCTCATGCCTGGATCTTAGGAAGAATTAGGATGGAAAGAAAAGATTGTGTACTGCTTCATTTGGAAAGCTGTCACGTCGCCAACCACTGCACAGAGCTCAAACGAGGGGGACAGAGCCCATCATGTTTCAGTTGTGGGTAATCAACACCACCACAATTTCATGATTTTTTTTTCATTTCTTCAGGTATACTTTATCTCCACAAAGGCTGTATGAATACTTATATTTATAACCTTCCCCAATTTGCAAATAAATCCTGCCAATTAGATCCAGGCTGCAAATGACATTATTGCTCAGCATTTTACTCCGAGCTAGATAAACAGTTATAGCAGTATGCAACAATACAAGACAGAGATAAAGTGCAGCCAACTGTGCATTAATAGGAGGGATATTGCATTGAATATATGAGCAATGAAAAATATTATTTTTCCCATAGAGCATCTTTCATCCAAGTTACTCAAAGCACTTTAAACATACACATCAGCTGAGCCTCCCCAAGACTGGGAGATAGGTGCTGCTCTACAGGCTATTATTGCTGCCAGTGCCATGCTTTGATAGCAATGAGAAAACAGACAGAATAAATGTGGTTTCCTGTGTGTCTGGGCCAGAATGAGGATTGCCTGAACTGCCCAGATGAGCTCTAATGCTGCAAGCAAAAAGCAGAGCAAGCAGCAACAGAAGGGGAAGGGCTCCCACATCCTTCTCAGCTGCCTCCTGCACTTTGGGGGTGTCACTACAACCCTGTGGTGATGTTGCAGCAAAGTGCCTGTCAGCACTGCATCCTGCCAAGACTCCTTGGTAGGGGAGCTACAAGTGGAGAATGAAAGTTTAAAGAACGGTATGGAAAAGGTTAACGAGTGCTCACATTCCCTTGTGCTTTCTTAGCCTAAGGCCCACAGCTTTTTGATGTCACTGAGGTTTCTGAGGATGCACTGGGGCCTTTCTGCAATAGACCTTAACCTCTGAAGCTGACCCGTGAGGAGCAGGGCATCTGTGCAGGTGCATGCCCAAAGTCTGCTCACGTCCAGCGCTGCCTTCGACCCGGCCTCTGTGGGGCCAGGCTGGAGCTGGGGCAGCAACTGGGCGAGACACTCCCCGGGTAGCTGCACCTTTTAAGTTCATCTCCTCGCTGGCTATCCCCATTTCCCCGGAAACCCAAAAGGGGAAAGGGGGAAAAAAAATAATGAGCCACAGTTACGGTGATGGGAGCAATACAAGCTTAGGAAGCTCCCCCTCCTGCTGCTCCTGCCCAGTGCCTGGTTCACAGTGGCACCACATGGGTGACAGGGTTGAAGAGCTCCTGCAATCCATACCCTGAGCACCGGGGAAATGAAGGCATTGCTTAATGCAGCAACGAGAGGGCAAAGCAATAGTGTGGAGGGAATGTGCAAGCCCATAGGCGAGGGTGCAGGAGCTCTGCTATGGCAGAGCTTTGTAGTGAGGTGCAACTTCACCCAGCTGAGCTGCCTGCCTGAACACCAGGGCTGAAGACGCGCCAAGTCTGCAGGGACAGCACCCCTGCATGGTCCCCTTCCCCAGCAGACCTCTGCCCCCTGCCTCTCACCACGGCCTTCGGGCAAAAAGCACCGAGTTGCTAATAAGACCCACAAAGTGTTGAATCTAAACCAAGCTACAGAAGTAAACAGCTATTGCAGCTAAAGATTAAAGAAACCCTGCACCAAGCAAGCAAAGAGGACAGGAATTAGAAGTTTATCTTCTGGTCTAGTGAAGGATACCAGTATTGACAAGTAGCACAGTTGGAGGCAGCTGAGATTGGGCTTTTCAGACAGGACTGTCAAAGCAGCAGCAGGAGCCAGACTGTGCCAACAGACCATGCCAGGAAATGTAGAACAGCATGGGACAAAAGTGCATGCACAGCGTTGAGGCACACCTACCCTACTGGTGCTCGCAGAACGTACATGGTGTCACCCACTGAAGAGTGACACTTCAGAGCCTGGATGCTCTCCTGCACAGCAGGATTTACACAACAGGCAGAGCTGTGCCCCACACTCCACAGAGGCTGCAGACTGTGTGCAGGTGTGCCCAGGCAGGTGTATGCACAGGCAGAAGGACACGCGTGGCATTGGAAGGACAATGTGACATGTTGTGCAACACCCGGCCTTGGATTTCGGTTGGTACTGAGGAAGCTTGACTGACTCACACACAGGGCTGGCAGGCATCGGTGGGGGAGGCGATCTGCTTGCAAAGGGACCGCAGGTCTTCCCAGCATTAAATGAAACCCTTTTCTTTTCAGGATGACCTGCACTGGCGGGCAGCTCTGCCTGGGGTCCCTGTGTGCGTGTGCAGATACACTGTCAGCTGCATGGAGGGGAGCCAGCAGCAGTGCGCCCGCACGCCCAGATGCTTGGGAGGTCTGTCTGCTTCTACATCCACTGCACCCGGCAGCTTTGCAAGGATGAGCAGATTTGGCTAGAACAAGATTCCCCTCCCTGCTTTTCCTTGCTTCTTCCACCCACCCACACCCACACAGCAAGCCAAATACAGCCCGTGCTGTCTGTAAGCCAAGCTAGTGCTGTGGAGCTTCAATCAGACAATCAGCTCTCGTGTCCCAGATTCTGATCAACACATACATATTCATGCTTTAATTGGAATGTGCCATTAGCGTTATCTGCTGTACAGCCAGGGGCGCAGAGGGAAGGGGCGAGCAGGAGCAGAGCCCATCACGGCCTCTTGTGCTTTTTGACCCTCTGCATGCCGGGGGGCCTGGAGAAGCCGATGGTTCCCATGCCCAAGCACACGCGTTTGTGACCCATTAGGCAGGAGGATGACTGGGGGTGCCAGCAAGAGAGATGGGGAAGGTTGGGGGGGGGGCTTCCTTTCCAAGTGCCAAGGCCCAGTGGGGACTATTTCAATTGACTCTATTTCTCTCTAGGCTATGGGGCAAAGCTACGAGAGGACACTGCATCTATCCCATCCATCCTGCTTCACTCCTGGCTCTCCCTGCATCCTGAGGAATTATGAGGCACCAAATCTTAACAAGTTGCCATTTTGGCTACAGAGGGGCCATCAGCCTTGCAGGACTGCGAAGTGCCCTGGTCCCACGGTGTCTAGGACGGGTTCGACACAAGCCTTGGCTGCTGCATTAGCAGATGCTTTGGTGGAGAAAATTATTTGTCTAAGCAGCAGCTAGGGGCAGGAGGGACCCTTGTTTTCTGCCTCTGATCACTCTGTTCTAAACCCAATCCCAGCTGATGCATTTCAGAGCCATTTGAGCTTGTGTCTATCTGGCGGCTAAATGTGCGGGATGCTGCCAGATGGAATCACACTTGGTGCAGGTGAGAAACAGAGCACAGTATGACAGAAAGCCAAGGAAATGTATGGTTAAGATACGTTGAATAATATGATGAGGAGCTCTGATAGGTGAGTTAGTGGGGAAAAGACAACATACTAAAGCCTTTCTCCTGCAAGACAGCCCATAAGAGCAGCTGTGTTTTTAAACAAGAGCCTAATAAAGATATATATGTACACGTGTGTGTGTGTGTATATATATTTGTATATATATATATATATATATATAAAGAACAGTACTTAACACTGTATGGATAAAGGTGATGCCTGTAAAGCATTTCCACTAGGCCCACCACATCTTCCCACTCAGCAGTGTCTTTGCACTTATTTGTAACCTTCTTTGTGGTCTCTGCTTCAGTAAATCTGGGATGTTATCACTACCAGGGGAAAAAAACTAGTGGCTGACATGCTATTCCCTGCACTCTAATATCTAGCAATGGTAGTAAATGGAAGAGACTCACATTGGATATATTCCCAAGGCATGGGGACTGAAGCACATTGAGCTTGGATTTAGGGGGCAGCTCTGCTGAGTGAAATGAAGAGTTTTCTTCCACTCTCTGTGACTAGATTACCAAACCCAAATATATTCTGGTTTGAGTCGGATGATGTAACTCTTGTTGTAATGTAACTCTTAAAATGTAACTCTTTTGGGAGAGCAAATCTGGAAATAATGTCTTCAAGGAGAAGCAAATATAAAGAACAGAGCACATCCACAGTAAGCATCTGATGTAATTCTTAATGCAGTCTATAGAAAATTTGCATATTGTTTGAACTGGATATAGCTGTCTAAAAGAACAAGAGGCACCATGGATGGTAGTGTTTGTCCACCACTAATCACTACAGCTACTTAAAGAGACTGAAATTGCTTTAAAAGATTGCTTGGTGTCCAAGTGACAATTATACTCAAGCTAATTTGTTGTGCAGTCTGGTCCAACCTATATGTCTGTACTTTATAGGCTCATTTAGCTCAAACGATCAGTGATCAGAACTAAAGCATCAAAGAAATGTGTTGCGTATGTGTGTTTTTAACCAAAACTGGCACCTCACAGTACATTGACTACACTGCCTGCCAGGCTGTTTGCCTTGGCTTTGCCTGTGCACAGATGGGAGAAGAACTTCACGTTTCCCCTGTTATTACTCAGGAAATATTTCATGCTTTTATATTTATTAAGCTTAATGTTATTTCCAAAAACAAATCCTACCTGTACTAACTCCCGCCCTCCCCACTCCAAAAAAAAACCATCCTACCAACAAAACACCCAAACCTTTTCAGTTTGTAGGGTAACTTTCACACAGAACAACTCCAATTGGCTGACTATCTGTGTGACTCAAAGCATTCTTGCATAAAACTGCAAGTGTTATTAAAAGTCACAGATAGATAGATAAACACACACAAATGGAAAGCAAAGGGAATAAAAACTATCTTATGATCACTCTGGGCTTTTCTGTGTTCACCTGCAAACACTTTCTTCTTTCTAAGCTGCTGCACAATTTTTCTGTACACAGTGAACAACTGGGAAGTTTCATCTCGGAGACAGTCGCCACTGAGGCGGTGGGTGAGTGATCCCTAGCAAGGCGGGTAACAGCTCTTCTTCCCACGGGACTAGATTCCTCCGTGCATATGTTACTGTGTCAGCCATCGTGTCGCAGGATCTGTGCTCATGGTTGTACCTGAACAAAAGGAGAGCTGGGTGCACAGTGCAGATGGGAGCTGCAAAACACTGCCCGGAAAGACGGAAAAGTCCCTGTGCTGGGGCATGTCATGGTGTTCAACAGACAGGACGTGCCATCGGAGCAGGAGAGTGCTCTCAATACTCCTTAGGGTAATGACAGAGAGAACGATGCTCTTAAAATGGGGACGGCATTGCCCCTTTTCTCTTAACATCTTGCAAGCTCTGCTCACAGGGACTTTGATGGATGCAGTGCAGACAAGTCACGTGCAGCTGAGCCCATTTTACTCCAACCCTCCTCACAATCCTCTGCTACCCACAAGGAATCTCAGGCTGGGGAACAGCCCTCCGTCTGGAGTCACAGCCCCAGACAGCCGAACGCTTTGGGAAGCTGACACGTGCCTTGCCTTGGGAGCCTGCCAGCTCTTTGATGCAGCACTCACAGAGGCTGACTGCAAAGCCTGTGGAGGAGGGAAGGGGTGGAGGAGCCCTTAATTTGGCTGCCAGCTTCCAAAGCGCTCGCTCGCTTGGGAGGTTGTGTGACAGCTGTGATTGAAGCAAGCGGGGGAGGACGCAACTGCAGGAAAGGGAAGCGCTTGGTCGGGCTGGGCCTTTCAGAATGAAAGGCACAGCAGCCCTTGCTGCATTGAGATGGGTCAGGAACCTCTGCCAGGGCAAGGCTCACCCAGGAGAGCCACGGGAATGCCCTAGTTACATGCATGCAGAAGACACCTACTGAGCCACTCAACAAACTGCATGGAAAAAAGAAGCCTGTGTTCAAAGGAATCACACTGGCAGGCAGCAACCACCAGGAGCCAGGAAACGCGGCTGGGAATGCTACCATGTGCAGAAGGCTCTCATCCCAGCCAAGGCAGAAGAGAAGGAGAGAGAAGGAGGCATGACAGACAACATGCCCTGAACTGTCCCTTAGCAAGAACACAGAGTGGGATCTAGCCAGTCAATTCCCCTAATAATCAGTCAAAAATCTCCCAGCTGCAGAAGGACTAATGAAAAGAAGCACAAGGCAAGAAGATACCTGGCCACTCTTCACTTGACCATCACTTCCATCTCCTGTGCAAAGGCCACAGATATTTTGGGAATGCTCAGAGCGGAATTTATCTACCTGTCCTTCATTTCAACAGTTAAACAGAAGATTTCTGTTCCGAATGCTTTGGGAAAGCATTCAAACTTTTGACCTAGATGTAAAGCACAGTTATAGGGCTCTTCTCCCTTCCCAGAAACTTCTCATTTGAATTAATCCTTTTGCACCCCAAACCTGAGAATCCCCTTTGGGATAATGTGCAGATGCAGGAAGAAAGTGGATGAAATGCCAGAAGTGCAGTCCAACGCTTCTCTGAAATGTTTCAATACTATCCTTGCTTCCAGGTCTTGCTCCTCAACATCCCCATCCCTACCACAAGCTGACCCATATTTGTAGCTGCAAACTTGTCCCTCCCCATATCCCGCTGATGGGGGAAGAGAACAGACTCCATACCTTCAATGGGTTTGGGTACAAAATGTGATGAGGGTTTGGTTTTCTTCACACGGTTTCCCTTCATAATTTGACCTTCTTTATTGAGTCCCAGGAACCACGCTCGTCCGGATTCTTGCTGCCGGTACAGCGTGGAAGAATAAATAACGTAGTAGTTTTCAAAGACAGATTCCTTAAATTTGCACTCTGGTGTGAAAACATCCTGCAGTGAGAAAGAGAAGAAAAAGCAATAGAAGGAATTAATCACTGATGTCCTAAATTAGGCAGCATTGAGTGATACACGATGGTCACGCACTACAGTCAGTTTAACAACAGAAAACAACAGGCATCAGCAACGCCAGCTCCCAGCAATAACAAACACAGATCTGGAAAACTCCCTGCTGAAAGAGAAGGCGCTCGCCTTCGCTGACTATGGAGAGCTGCGGTTTACAAAACAGCCCACAGTAAATAGGCTTGAAAAATGTGCAGGAAAAGGCAGTATTGTGTCCCAGAAAGCTGGAAACGCAGCCAGAGCAATGCCCTTGTCTGCACGTCAAGAGTCACTGGGCTGGGAATCTTGAAATGTTGCGGAGGATGTGTGTTCTCCCAAATCCCATTTCTAAGGATTTGGTTGAAATATGGAGCACAAGAAACAAGTACGCAACAATTATTTTCAAAAGGGGAAGGAGAAAATGCTGGCACAAGACCTACTTTTTTAAAAAAGGAAAAAGAAGTAATTTTAAAGATTTTTGACATCTAAATTTTTCTTCAAATACAGAGATGTAGCCTCACACCTTCCCCAAGAACAAAAAACAAGTGGCCCTGTTAGAGACATCTCCCTTTCCCCAGTGATGGGGGAGATGAGAACAACAGGGAGGCCACATCTTTGCCATTGCTGCTGTATTTGCATGAAGGCTCCAGGAGGAGACTACATCCCCACTACACCCAGAAGAAAAACTTGCCACAAATCATATTTTTTTTCCAGACTTAAAAATCAGGGAAATACTAGTAAACCTCTCTTAAATTAAGAGCCAAAAGGCACCAGCTGGAGGCTCTGTGACAGTGGCCTCAGCTCAACCCTTCGCTGACTCAGACAGTCATCAGGCTCTGTTTGTTTGCTTTGTTTTCAAGACTTTGACCAGTAAATTCATCCTGACCAAATGAACTCCTCTCTCACAGCCATGCTTAAAACTACCCCACACCTGCAGAGAACCCTCCAGCTGCAATGAATATAAGCACCTTCTGAAGAGACAGGCTCATCAGAAGATCCCTCCTGCAGGACCTAGGCAAGGTAGGATGTCAGAGCCCCCACAAGTGTAGGGGGCTGTTGTACTCCCTGTTGTATCCATCACTCAGGTGGGTGCTGCTGTCTGAAACAAGCACTAAGCTGAAGGTTTCTCTCCTCAGCAAATCCTTGCCACTCACAGGACTTCAGGAATTTCTCCAGCCTCCCTAATGGAAAGCCCATGACCAACACCAGCACAAACCATCTGGCTTGCCCTGTGTTTGCTGCAGACCTCATTTAAGAGGGAACATTTTGAGCATTCAGCAACACTCCGGAGCTATGTATTGCCAAGCACTCTGGGGGCTATATAAAGTGTTGCTGGTATGACAGTAAATCCCATGTGCAACAGACCTACAGAGCCAGGCAGACTTGAAGTCAACAGAAGATGAAGAGCCACAGAAATCACAAAGTTGTGCTGAATGCCTGAAGTCTGCATCAGTCATTAGCACCACATAGATAAAAACACTTTTCAGACCCTATCTAAGGGAATCTTCCTCGCTGTAGAAATAAATATTTTAGAAGGAGGGAGTGAAACAACTTAAGAGAGATCCAGATGACTTAAAGCACTATAAAAACCAGTGTTTGAAGTAGTTTCCCAAAAGATCAGTGTTTAAGTGCTCCTTAAATCTGCTCTTTATCTGCAGGCTTTGTCTTGCCTTGGAACACAGAGCTCACGTGGGAGCGGGGTGGGTTCCAGCCCATTTCCTCACCAGTCTGCACAGGGTCACTCTAATGTCTGATCTCTGCAGGGCCTGAGGCTCTCCTGGGCAGGGAGAATTCCCTCTACAACTAGACTGGACAAGTCAACCCCATTTCCCATGCCTTGCTTTCCCCGCCCCCCGGCAATTAAAAAAAGGTGTTAATAGAACTAGCCTTAGGAGGACTCAAAAGTTTGTAGTCAGTGAGGGGAAGCCACTAGGTTGCCCAAAACTTAGAAGTTAGAGTGCACGAGATATTTCAATTTTCAATGTTTGCTGTAATTTCAGTTTGGAGTAAAGACTATTATTTTTCAGTGAAGCAGAAATTTAACAAAATACTGTTTGAAAATGTTCTTTCAGAAAACAAAACTTTTAGAATCTATTTAGAAGTTATATAAAATTGAAAGTTCTAAGGTAAATATCTGTTTTAAAATAATTACAGGATAATATTTTCTGAAGTTCACAACAGCACAGGCCATATCATGCGTACAAAATAAAGCATTAAAAATATTCTGTTAAAGGGGATATCTCTTTTTAAAGACATCTACTTAAGGACTATTCCAAAAAGTAAAGAAAAAATGGTGGTTTTCATTACGTGTCTATGCTTCCTCAAAATAAGACAAATAAAGAAAGCTCTCCAATTGTTTTTTGTAAATTGGCTGGTTGATTCCTCCTTCCCCACAATTTAGTTGAAATACCACTTTAGGACTTTGCAACAACATACAAAAAAATCTGGTTATGTCCTTTAAGTGGTTATAAAAAATCTCACAGATTTGATATATTTAAATAATGCATTTTTGTTCATTATTTTTTTCTTATTATGCATATCACTACATTGGCAACAGCTGTGCCCCCACTGTGCCATGCTAAGACATGTATACATTGGATAAAACTCCTTCTATCCCCAAAAAGAAAATGTAGGATGTATAATCCTATATTGTTGACAGACAGCAAAGCCTATAAAGTACACACACAAAGTCACACACCCAAAATACCAATGTCACTAACAGTTGCATCCCAGCTGCTTGCTCAGCATCCCTGAAGAGCAGGACACTTGTTTTTGCTGTCTGCCATTTCCCTACCAAAAACACGCTCAAAACTGCCAAATAAATAAAGATCTCTCTCCTTTTTTCTTTTTCTTTTTTTTTTTTGTGAAGATCTCCCTTTATTATAACCCAAAGGAGTATTGCAAATATACACATCCACACAGAAACTTAATGACTTAATAAATTTAGCAACTGAAACTAGCAGCTATAAAAGAAAAAAGCCCATTCTGCAAGTAGTTTGTGCCACCGTTCAGGAAAGGGATGTTAATTATGAGTGTTGAAATATCTAACAAACACATTCCCAGAGTAATAGTTTTCCTTTGTTTACAGCACTTACGGGTTTCTCTTTATGTTCTGCACAATCACGGTGCCAGACCTGCAGATGGGATAAAGCACCGAGCCGCACCGAAGCCTGTGGCACTGCAAGGATTCCCTCACACCGAATCTGGCTCAGGATGTCCACTGATGTTCATGGTAATACTTAAGAGTTTATCAAGTCATTAAAAACACATTAAGTAACCTCCTGTCAGCACTGAATTGCAAGCATCATCAGAACTATCAGCAGTGGCATTTCACTAAGGTTGTTGAGGGAGACCATGGAATGACTGGATCATGTTCATAGTCTGCACAAAGGCAGCTCCATTCAAAGGGAAAGGATGGTATTTACTATATATCTATTTACTCATCTCCTAACGAGTAAAGCCCTGCCAGCTGAGCAAGGTTTAATCAAAGCTTTGATGCCACCAGCTCTGAGCATCTGACATGCGACCATGAATCTCATATTGACAAGCTTGTTCCTGGCATAGGTGTATTCCCACGATAGCTTTTTAACCGTGTAAGTTCATTTTCACAGGCTAGACTCCACTGCAGACAACAGCAGCAGTCCCACAGCGAATGATGCCTTATATCAGATTGACTTGAGTGTCCTCCTGCTTCAACATAGCTTCTCCAATGACCTAGGGTTGCATCTATCTGGAAAGGTTTTAAAGTAATTATAGCTGAGCGCTCTCCTGGACTGTGATCAAGAACTGCAAATTTCCATCCAAACTTTACATCACATCACATCTTTGTCCAGATGGCAGGTGATATTCTACTGTTCACACTCCACTTTTCCTCCCCCTTCTAGCTCCATAAGATATTGGTGACAAGTCTTCTTGGTGGTCTTTTAGAAGTAGGAGAGAGGAGATACGTTTTAAAATAACAAGCTGTTACAAAAATATGAGAATCTACAGCCTTGCTGCAGAGCACATATTCACTTGATAAAAATAATACAGTATCTGCAAGCTCTTTTGGCTGTCTGGGGCATTTGTGGGTTGGAGGGAGCACACTGTCAAACAAATGGGCAAAAAAACTCTAGTGCTGGAAATTTATCCAAGTCTCTTGCTTTGTAATAAAGCTACAGATCTTTGTGTGTGAATACAAGCTGTTCACAAAGCAGAGTAGCGAGGACACCCGCCTGGGCGCACAGCTCAGCACTGACCAAAGGCTGCTGTCTTTTCTGCAACACCTGCGGAGCTCTCTGCCTCAGCTAACCAGTAACTCCATCAAAATGAGCTGGCATAGATCTGTATAAGGTATAGCCTACACTTGGGCTACGCAGCAGATAAACCCAGGGAGTTCAGTGGGATCCAACTTTGTATCTGTCTGTCCCATCATGTGTCCACATTCTCTTCTTGTGCTGCGAGCTCCTGGCCTGTTCACCATGCAGACCCGTTTTTACTAAGTACCTCATAAGGATAGAAACACCCAGTTCACATTACTAGTCTTTGGCGGGCTGCTGGTCATCCAACGCTGATATGAGCAGGGATTTCAATTTAATGAGTAAAAATCAGGAGAAAGCCTGAGGGTAAAAAGTTGGAGTAGCATTGAGGGTAAACAAGGGGAGTAGCACCGAGGGTAGGCAGGGGAGTAGGCCTGAGGGTAGACAGGGGAGTAGGCCCAAGGGTAGACAGGGGAGTAGGCCTGAGGGTAAACAGAGGTTAAAAAGGCAGGGTAGGAGTGACAACGACTCTGGAAGATGGACTGCTCATTCCCACCCCTCCCTGGGGAGCAGGGGCTCCGCCACACACGCCTGGGTAGGCTGGGTGGAAGAACAGACTCAGGGAGTAAGATGTGGGTACCAACGACTGAGTACCTGTATGTACAGCATCACCTAAGGCAGACAGCGCACTGCGCAACACAGCAAAGCGACATA